GATAGATAGATAGATAGATGATAGATAGATAGATAGATAGATAGATAGATAGATAGATAGATAGATAGATAGATAGATAGATAGATAGATAGAAGCATGGAGGCTATAAGCCTAGTGTTGACTCTAACCTTAGCCTCCCTACACCACAGCCCATTGCCACGCATCAACCTTTCTTAGGAACTCTGTCTAAGCAATCTCCAATTTTTGAGCTGCTGGCAGCCATTTTCTGCCATGGGAGACTCTTCAGGAGGTAGCTCCCACAAGACCTCTTTAGCTGGCCTTGCCTAAAGGGGCCTCTTGTTAGGTCAAAGGCTCCTCCTAAAGCCTGCCACAGGGCCTTTTGCTGTGCTGTGCTGTTTACAGAGCCTACAGCCAGTCCTTGACTTACAATCATTCATTTAGTGACTGTCTGAAGTTACAACGGCACAGAAAAATATGACTTGAGTGTTTTTCAGACTTAGCACCATTCTAGCATCCCCATCTCTTCAGATGCTTGGTAACCGATTCATATTTATGACAGTTGCAGTGTCCTAGTGTCATGTAATCACCTTTTGCGACCTTCTGACAAGCTAGGTCAAAGGGAGAAGCCAGATTCACTTAACAACCATGTTACTAATTTAACAACTGCAGTGATTCACTTGACACTGTTGGCTAAAAAGGTTGTAAAATGGAGCAAAACTCACTTAACTGTTTTAGCAACGGAAATTTTGGGCTCAATTGTGGTTATAATTCGAGGATTCTTTGTATTGGTTGGCCCTTCCTGTTGACCTGTTTCTGGCCTCCCAGGCCAAATCTGTTGACAAACCTCTTCAAAAGCCAGACTGTTGCTGGATAATCCCTGGTTTTGACTGCTGACTCTCCTAGCCTTATCAAGGCCTTCTTTTCACCTATATCCCTGCTGTAATTTCAGGCACATCTACCCAGCTGTTATTTCTATTACATTTCAACTGCTTAAGCTATTTAGTTTAAAAGGAAACATACTCTTCATCTCCTTAAAATATTTATTTCATATTGTGTCTCCAAGCAGCCTAAATATGGAAACCAAATCTCCATGCCTCCCTGC